GGGGCTGGAGCGACACCAGACACGTGGTCAAACAGTGAGACACTGTCCTTAATATCGCTCAGTAGGTACAGTTGCAGATGGTCATGCCACGTGTCAAATGCAACCGTTCTGGCCTCATGATCGAACTCTAGAACTCTAAGCGAAGCCATAGTGGCGCAGCACTCAGGAGCAGCAGTAGCAGCAGTAGCAGCTGCCAAGGGGACAAGGGGCGGGCCCGGGGGGCCTAGGGGCCGAGGGGCCAAACATGAGGGTGGCGGGGCCGAGGTTCCGAGGGGCCAAGGGTCCTAGGGGCCGAGGGGCCGAGGGGACTAGGGGCCAAACACGAGGCCGAGGGGCCAAAGGGGCCTAGGGGCCGAGGGGCCGAGGGGCGGGGCCGAGGGGCGGGGCCGAGGGGCCTAGGGGCCGAGGGGCCAAAGGGGCCGAGGTGCCTGGGGGCCAAGGGGCCAAGGGGCCGAGGGGCCGAGGGGCGACAGGCCGCGGGGCCAGGTACACAGGGGCCGAGGGGCCGAGGCTAGGGGCCGAGGGGCCTGGGGGGCGAGGTGCCTAGGGGCCGAGGGGCCTTGGTGCCTAGTGGCTAGGGGCCGAGGGGCCAAACATGAGGGGCCACGAGGGGCCAAGTGGCGACGGGCCACAGGGCCAGGTACGAAGGGGCCGAGGGGGGGGCCTGGGGCCTAGGGGCTTCAGGCCGCGGGGCCTAGGAGCGAAGGGGCCGCGGGGCCTAGGGCGACGAGCCACATGGCCTTGCTGCGAGAGGGCCGCGGGGCCAGGAGTAAAAGGGGCCGCGGGGCCAGGAGCGAAAGGGCCACGGGGCCAGAACGAAGGGGCGACGGGCCGCGGGGCCTAGGGGCGACGGGCCGCAGGTCGACGGGGCGCGGGGCGACGAGCCTAGGTGGCGAGGAGCGTAGGGGCCGAGGGGCCTGGGGCCTAGGGGCGTCAGGCCGCGGGGCCTAGGAGCGACGGGCCACGGGGCCTTGGGGTGAGAGGGCCGCGGGGCCAGGAGTAAAAGGGGCCGCGGGGCCAGGAGCAAAAGGGCCGCGGGGCCAGAAGGACGGGGCGAAGGGCCGCGGGGCCTAGGGACGACGGGCCGCGGGGCCTAGGTGGCGACGGGCCGCAGGTCGACGGGGCCTAGGTGGTGAGGAGCCTAGGGCGACGGGCCGCGGGGCCAGGAGCGAAAGGGGCCGCGGGGCCAGGAGCAAAAGGGCCGCGGGGCCAGGGGGGGGGGGGGGCGACGGGGCCTAGGCGACGGGCCGTGAGCGACGGGCCTAGGGGCCGGGAACGACGGGGCCTCGGGCGACGGGGCCTAGGGGCCGGGAACGACGGGCCTAGGGGCCGGGAACGACGGGCCTAGGGGCCTGGAACGACGGGCCGCGGGCGACGGGCCTAGGGGCGACGGGCCTAGGGGCGAAAGTGACGATCCTAGGGGCGACGGGCCAAGGCCTAAGGTCAAGAGTAGGGAAGCAGGTGGTGGGCCCAAGGAACCTGCTCTGAAACCATGTCAATATTACGAACGAGAATGAACTATGAAACAGTTGAGTACAAGTACTAACCCTAATTGGGTTGTACCCCTTATGGGCTACCCCACTACAGCCTACACAAATGTATAAGCTATAATGTTCTGATATGCGTGTGTGCATGGAATGGTATGAGGGCATGAGATAATATATATTTCTTGCTTACAATAGTGTGTGAATGATGAGGCATGATTTTGAATGTGTGTGTCGAGTCAATAGCGAGTTATCGCTAGTCGCATGTCACGTCGTCGTTTGCGTGTCGTGTGCGGTTTTCTATTTTGTAGTTTGTGGAACGTTCGGCGTGTCGCAGGTGTGCGCAGCAGACTTCCAAGAACTCAAGGAATAATTTATCTTGAAGAACCAGAGCCATGGTTTCAAGATTCACGTGATTTCGAAGCTCTCCAAAATGGTAAACTTCAAGATAGTGAGAATAGTTACATTATACTGTGTAGTGTAACATTTGTCTTGGTGTAGGCCCTTGTGGAGGGTAGTTTCGAGACCCTTCATGGTTGGGGACAGTGTGGCATTGTTCCACATCACTGTACCTCGGCTCTTGGGGTTTGTAGAGGGTGGGAGTCATTCCCAACTCGTAACTCTTCCTACTTTGTGTTCTAAGACTATAGTGGCTGCCATAGTGCTGTTCGTTCAAACCGACGTTGCGTCATCAATACTTTATGAAATCGTGCGATGTAAATTGCCTATTGTAGGCGATATCAAGACACTCTAGATCCAATTTATAGCAAGTCATTTAAAGATGTGAAAAGAACGCTATCAACGTTTGAAGCCGCTGTGCAGAAATCCGACAGTGCACTCTATCTTTTGTTTTACGCACATTCAAGCCTATTGTGACTATAACATGCGCTGCCAGGCTGGTGAAATCGTCCCGAACCCTCTTGAAGGGGGTCAGATATTCCTTGCCAGCGCATAATATTTCGGGCCACGCATGGTCGTCTGCAGGTTTATGTTAGGGTTTCCTGTCATTCGTTGACGAGGAACTCGAGGTGCCAACCTGACATGGTCCTCTCCCTTTGCCCAATTGTGCACCCGTATTTGCACTTTTTTTCTTCATTCTCTCCATCTCTCCCGCCTAGCTGAGGAAGCCATGTCGGAATTCACAAGCACGCACTTTCGTTTCAAGAAACGTCCTTGGCCCGCGTTTGAAGTTAGCGCAGACGGCTGGTATAGCCGTGTCCCACCTGAACCTCCTAAACCACCACACCCACCTATGCCACCTGCACCACCTGCTTCTCCTACTCCGCCGGCGCCTCCCACTCCACTTGCTCCCCCTTCGCCTTCCGCTCCTCCTGCTTTAGCATACACGGGCAGTCAACCCGTCTTCACGCTCCTACTCCCACCCGTCTTGGCGTTTGATGAGTTCCTGTCAGAACCGGAATCATGCAAGCCCCCCTTATGAGTGGATCAAAGCTACGGCACCAGCACCACGTTGGGGCGAGCCTAAAAACTGCCCGTGGGACACGTCTATTGTGGGCACCAAGGACGATGTGGGCGCCGATGATGAGCATCGCGTAGAGGACGAGCATCGCGCCGAGAACAACAACGGTGCCAAGGCTGATGTGGGCGCCGAGGGTGGTGTGGGCGCCGAGGGCGGTGACGGCGCGAGTACTGGTCGTGCGATGGCTTTCGTGAGAAGCTTCCGATTCCATCATTTCCGCTGCCTAACCAAAAGCGTCCCCGCCTCTCTTCTTGGAATCTTGATGCCCCCTCTCCCAGGTACAAGCCGACATAGTATAAGCGTGGATGGACGTGGATGTTGCGGAGCCCACTCTTTTTATGCGCAACATCCACGGGTTTAGGGTTTAGGGCAGATGTCGTAGATGTCGTCGTTGTGGTCCATGAGAACAGATGGATGGACGCCCCGGGCGTCGTGCGGTGGCTCAACGAGGGCGCCAAGCCCTTCATCAAACCCAGGTTTGAAGTGCACGCGAGGAGCGCGTTGCTCGTGCTTGACTCCTACCGCAGTCATTTGACCGACAAGGTGAAGGCCAAGTTCAAGGAGCTCAACATTGTGCCGGCGGTGGTCTCGGGGGGTGGTACGGCGGAGGTACAGCCCCTGAACGTATCAATCAACCGCTCATTCAATGCGAGCGTGCGCCAGCAGTATTAGAGCTGGTTAGAGGAGGATGGCATCAGCACTCTGACAGAGAAAAGTGGGCTTGACCTGGGTTCGATCCTTGCACGCATGTGTTTTTCCTCTCCCATTGTACTGACTGCTTCCCGCATCCTTTTCCTGTGGTGCAGAGAACATCCGGAAGCTACCACATGAGGTGATCCTCAAGTGGATTTCCCGTGCCAGAAAGGCAGTGCTTGCCAACCTCATCAAGCGAGCGTTCCTCACCTGCGACATCAGCAACGTGCTCGACGGGTCAGAGGTCAAGCTCGCCATGGCGCACAGGAGGAGCGAGTTGGCCGCCGAAGTAGACGTCGACGACGAGGTCGCTGCAGGTGGCTTCTAGAACCACAACTGCCCGGCAACAACTGCTAGGCTAGCTAGAGGAGCAAAACCCCTATCTAGAGAGGTGAGTAGAGGTAGAATGCCATGTAAATGCTTAAAGGTAGAAAGAGAGGCCTTGTAATGCCTTGAAATGCCTTCTAATGCAGAAGTAAAGTCAATATTCTAAAATATATATGACCAGGTAGGGCTTAATGCCTTGTAATCCACCCTAGATTTTCAGGTTAAAAAAAAATAAAAATAAAAAGGTGCGCTTATAATAAATTAAGGTTGCTAAAGTGGTACGCTTCTAATCGAGTTCCAACCATGAGCACAGTGCTCCAGATAGAGCGCGTGCGCTTAACATAGGCCTTGGCTTATATCCATGGCTATATATTGGCAAATGAGGCAATAAGGATATTCTCGATCATGAGCCGCACCCCCTTCATGGCGTACGAGATTTCCAATACTGGTTGCATTGTAATATTGTTGCATTACGAGTAATACAGCATAAAATTGTTGCATAGAATTGCAGAGAGTACTAATGTATGGGAGAGCTGACTAGCATGAGACGCATAGACAGAGTTCTTGCTGTGACTCTCGACAAGATGCTTGGTTCCAGGCCCTCAGATTGGTTTTGGGCTAGTCTGAAAATTCAGAGTTGGTACATGACTTAACTCTGAAAATCAGAGTTTTTCCTGCAGAAATACCACTGCACACTAGAAAAATTTGCATTTTTCCTGGTTTTTCTCAAAAAAAGGCTGAATTTTCAGAGTTCACTTCGAAAAAAGGCTGAAATATCAGAGTTTTTTAGGCAAATCAGAGAAATTTCTCTGACTTCTGGGGGCCTGCTTGGTTCCCTACCGTACAAGAGCAACTTGAATACAGTGCGACCAACCACTACATTTTGTGGGTAAGGGTGCTAAGCTGCCAGCACTGGTACCAGCATTTACACCAGTATTTACACTTCCTCGAAGCTGGAGGAACAGACTCCGCTCCACATTTTACACGCCAGACATACACTTGCAGCTCCTCTTCCCTCACAGTACGTCTCCATCTCGACTACCAGAGTCGCTGGTTGCCATGTTACCAGTAGTAACCGCATGCACACTGTCGGGCTCCACTGAGCCACCGCTCTCTCCCCCTCCCCTGCTGGGCAGCGAGCCCTCAGCGTGCTGTCTTTCTTCAAAGCGTCCACTCCCTTGCCTGCTCCGCCCTCCACCCCCCCCAAAGTAATGCACCCATCTCTTCATGCTCTCACTCCCTAATGCCCTGCCGCTGTTGCCACCCACAAGCCCACTCCTCCCCACCTCTGCTCCTCGGGGGCTCCCCTTCCCACCCAGCGCCCCTGCCACACCCAGAATATGAGCCGCCAGTCCCACAAACCCTGCTCCTCCTGCTTCCCCTCCCTGCACCCCTGCCCCGGCACCAGCAGCAGCGCCGCCAGCGGCGGCGAGGGCAGCAGCGCCAGCAGCAGCAGCAGCGGAAGCTGCATGAAAGGTGCGGCGGGCGTCCAGCATGACGCGTGCCACCTCAGCCATGTCCGGGCGGCGCGTGGACGGCAGCTGCACGCAGTGGGCGGCGGTGCGCGCCATCTGCAGCAGCAAGGGCAGGTTGAGGGGCGAGGCGATGCGCGCGTCCGCTATCTCTCGGATCTCCCCGCGATTGATGTATGGCACCGCCTGGGGGAAGGGGGTTGGGGGAAGGTGGGGGACGACGAGATGGCACATGGTTCAAATCTTACATGCATGGCACCGCCTGGTTGGGGAGGGGAGGGGCGTGTGAAAGGGCGGGATGATTCGAAACTCATGATGGCTTGATGTACAACACAGCCTGCTGGAGGGTGGTTTGGGTTTGGAGGACGGGTGGGGAAAATGGTCAAATCTCCTGCGCTTGCTGTGCAGCACTGCATAGTGAAAGGGGCGGGGAGGGTTGGGGCAGGGACGACGGTAAGGAATCCACATGGAGAGGTGCGGCACGAAAAGAGAAAAAAAAACCCGTTTAGGGCAGTTTATGACAGGGGATGTGATGCAGGGTGGCATGGTTTGACAGCATGTGCTTTGGCAACTTTTGGTATGCACTGGTTGTTGTGAGGCTGGGAGGAGCACGGACAAGGGCAAGTGGTGATGCTTTCTGGAATGATCTCACAGCCATAACGTTGTGGTGCAGCTCACCAATGCTCTGACGTGGACATGTCAGCTCATCCATGTGCTGATGTGGACGTGCCAGCTCATCCATGTGCTGACGTGGATATGACAGCTCACCCAGGAAGTGATGTGCTTGATGCAGCCCTGGTCGTTCGGGTCGCTCTCCGTGGCTGGCCGCCCCGTCACCATCTCGAGTAGCAACACACCGTAGCTGGTGGGTGCAGATGTGGAGAGATGTGGAGTGAGCTTTGCACGCACACATGTACGGACGCACGCACGCACACAATACACTCCACGCACACATGTACGGACGCACGCACGCACACAATACACTCCACGCACACATGTACGGACGCACGCACGCACACAATACACTCCACGCACACATGTACGGACGCACGCACGCACACAATACACTCCATGCACACATGTACGGACGCACGCACGCACACAATACACTCCACGCACACATGTACGGACGCACGCACGCACACAATACACTCCACGCACACATGTACGGACGCACGCACGCACACAATACACTCCACGCACACATGTACGGACGCACGCACGCACACAATGCACTCCACGCACACATGTACGGACGCACACACGCACACAATACACTCCACGCACACCCACCTATACACATCACTCGCAGTAGGCACCTTCTCACACGTCATGTACTTGGGGTTCATATACCCCCTTACACCCAAACACACCTTTACACACTCATACTCACACCCACCCACAACCACCCACCCACACCCACCTGTAGACATCGCTCGCCGTGGAGAGCTTTTCACACGTCATGTACTCGGGGTCCAGATACCCCCTCGTGCCCGCCACACGCGTGAACGTGCCGTCCTGCTCCGCCCCCTCCTGCAGCGACCGAATCAAACCAAAGTCGGCGATCTTCACCTGCATGGCAGCAAGGGAGGTGGTGCAGAGGGTGGTTCGGGGACGGGGGGGAGAGAAAAGGATGAATTCAGTGATCTTCACCTGCAAGGGAGGAGGTCAGGAAGGTGGTCAGGATGGTGGTCAGGATGGGTGGTCAGGATGGTGGTCAGGATGGTGGTCAGAGGGTTGAAGAGGGCACGGGGAAGTGGTTGCATGTGCATTTCCATGTGATGCTGTGATGCCATGCAGGGCGATGGGGCTGGAAGGGCAAGCAAGGGACGATGAGACATGAAGAGCTGCTTCTACCGTAACTGGAAAAAGGTGAACACAAGCCCCTCTCTACCATGCTTCATGCCAATGCTGCGATCCTCTCTACCTTGGCGCGACATGCTGCCACATGGCAGACTCTAACTGACTTCCACGCACCTCAGCTGTGCATGGCATGCACCTCGTAGTCCTCTGTGAGCAGCACGTTGCAGGGCTTGATGTCGCGGTGCACAATGGGCTTCTCTGCATGATAATGAAGGTACTTGAGCCCCTCTGCCAGCCCCAAAGCAGCGTCCAGCCGCTCCTCGAAGGTCAGCAGATGCCCTTGGAACTTGGCGTACAGATGGTCGCTGATGTCGCCGTTGGGCACATACTCGTACACCAACACCTGGGTGGGTGGGGGAGGGTTATGTGTGCAGCAGACTCGTGTGAAAATGCGCGTACACGTGGTCGCTGAGCGGACCATTGTGTGGCTATGCATACTCTCGTACACCAGGACCTGTCAAGAAGGAAGGGGTGGGGGAATGAATTTTGAGTCGAGGTGTCTGTGGAACTGCGCGTACAGGTGGTTGCTGATGTCACCGTTGGGCACATACTCGTACACCAACACCTGGGGGAGGGGAAAAGTGGAATGAGGAAACGGGAAGGGGTGGGGGGAGGTGAATGCGTGGTGCCTGTGGAAGTGCGTGTATAGATGGTCTCTGATGTCACCGTTGTGCACATACTCTTACACCAGCACCTGCCAAGAGAGGGGGGGGAAGAGGGAAGGGTGGGGGGTTGGGTGGGGGGTTGGGTGGGAATGCATGCATCAGGTGCCCGTCCGTGGCACTTCGCATACATGTGGCTCAGTGAGTCGTTGCGCCCACACTTGAACACCAGCAGCTGCTGGGGGGGAGGGATGGTGGGGGGGTGGTTTAACAGGGACGTGCAGTATTAGACCCGCTGCCGCCCCTCAACACAAGTCTTCATATGATGAAGAATCGACTTGTGAAGCTGCTACAAGAAGATGCGATAAGGAGCTTTTGAGAATTCTCAAAAGGCAAAAGGCTGCACCATGTGGTAAGTGGTTAAGACGGCAGCTGTTACAACACGGAGGTGTTAGATTACCTTCCTCATTGTAACCTGCATCTATCCTATAAGCCTCGGCTAGAGATAGACACCCAAATGTAGTTTGGGTGTAGAACTAGGGCTAACCCTAGTTGGGGGTTGGAACTCAACACTTGGCCCAATTATTTGGCCCCCAAGGTTGGGTTGGGAATTATTGGCCCCCCCAATAATGTTGAACCACTTTGGTCAACATTATTGGTCCCCCCAATAACTCATCAACCCAACTTATTGGTGGGGGCCAATAATGTTGGCTAGGTTCCAACCAAACCCCCATCCTAGCACACCTATGTACACCCACGTTCTTTCCTAATCAATCATCGGTTCTTCCTATTGTCACAGGAGGTAGAATTTATTAGGAGACAAGGGCGGCATTTTTTGGAAGAGAGCAGCACCTGCTCGTTGTTCTCGTTGCAGTAGCCGAGGAGGCGCACGAGGTTCTTGTGGCTCAACTTGGACACCGCCTTCACCTGCCAGACATGGAGTCAGCCAGGAGAGAACGTGAGGGAGAGAGAGAGAGAGAGAGAGAGAGAGAGAGAGAGAGAGAGAGAGAGAGAGAGAGAGAGAGAGAGAGAGAGAGAGAGAGAGAGGGGCCACGGGGCATGGTGGCATGGTGGAATGATGACTTATAGATGCCCTGAAAGCAGGGAGCAGTCGAGTAGCAAGCTTCCCCGTCTCCCGAACAAGAAAAATGGTTTGTCGAATGGTAGATTGAGAGATGATTGATCCGCTGTTTGCCTCGAGAGTGATAGGATTGTGGTTGAATTTCTAGATCGCCTCGTTTGCCACTAGGGTCGTCTAAGCTTGCTAAGGTCGCCGTATACATAGCCGCTTTCCTAGATTGTCGGTAGTCTAAGAGCGCGAGGTGGGCAGGCGGACCTGCCCTTTGATGGAACGTGTGGTTGTGAGCAGGAGAGGGAGGGTGTATATGCGTTACCTATACTTCACGGGGAGAGTGGGAATGCAAAGGCGTTACCTATATTTTGTGGGGATACTACAAATCTAAATTGCCACCTTCACCAGCTTCACATTCTCCCTTAGCCTCCATGCAACTCCAACTTTATCCACCACCCACACAAAGAACGGCTCCACCTCCTTCACCCGAAACAGCATCTTTAACTTCTTATCCTGCTTCTCCCATTCCACCCTCTAATCTGGTCAGATTCGAACAAATTCCCATTTTCCAACATCTCCAACTCCAAATCCGTGGTCCTTGGGAGGTCAAAGTCCGCCTTTTGTTTCTTTTGAGCCCTATCATGATTCCCAGCTGTGTGGTTAGCGCAAGCTCCATTTCTTAGGACCCCTAGTACCCGGCCGATGCATCTGCTGTTCCTCCGTGGACCTTTCCGTCAGCTCCCTAACCTCAAAATCCACCATGCTACTCTCCGTGATGTTGAGGTGGCGCCTCTGCAGCAGTAGGAAGGGGAAGAACTTAGTGGAAGAGTGGATTGAAGCCCAATACCCCAACAACACCCACCATATGTTCTCGTCCCACTCCAAAGGGTAAATACCTCCTAATCGAATGCGCACAATCCATTCATCAACATTGTGAGAGTTAGCTTGCTAACAAATGACATCGTCGAGATGCTCTGGTTCAGTTTCATTTTGCAGCGTTTTTTTATCTGTTCGTAATGAGGTTATGAAGCCATTATGGCGAAATCAGTTTAAACAACCTACTTATATTCTACGCACATTCTGAATCCCTGTCTGATTATACTACTCTTCTGTATCCTGCATTGATCATATAAACCCTAGGATAGAGATAAGCACCGAAACTATGTTTGGGTGCACAATTAGGGTTAACCTTAGTTAGGGGTTGGAACCCAACATTGGTCCAATTATTGGCCCCCAAGGTTGGGTTGGGAGATTATTGGCCCCCCCAAATAATGTTGGCCCACTTTGGCTAACATTATTGGGACCCCCCAATAATTCTCCAACTCAACTTATTGGTGGTGGGGCAATAATGTTGGCTAGGTACCCAACCAACCCCCCCTTCCCTAGCTCCAACTATGTAAACCCACTGATTCCTAACCAATCCAATGGTTCAATTCTAACATGCTATCGGAGCTTTTACGGCTAACGCCACTCCAGATCCTAGCACCACATTTCTCCTCGCGTGCCTAGTTTTGCCTAGCATGATAACACCGTGCCTTTACGCCACTCGGCGTTCCCACCTACCGCCGGCTCTGCCGTGCCCCTCGTGCCACTTAGCGCACCTCCCGCCGGCTCTGCCGTGCCTCTCGCGCCACCTCGGCACACCTCCCAACGGCTCGGCCGTTCCCTCGCGCCATCTCTGCCGCAGGTGCATCTGCCATCCGCGGACGCGACGAACGAGCCCGTCAGGCGCGGACGCGACGAGCGCGCCTGCCAGCCGCGGACGCCGCGGAGGCGCCCACCAGCCGAGGACGCCGCGGAGGCGCCCATCAGCCGTGGGGTGATTAGGGTTTGCTGCTGCCGCCTGCGGGGCAACTGGACCGCTCCGTTCCTCAAGATGGTGTCGTCCACCTCCCCCCCCCCCCTCCTTCCTCCCCCTCCTCTCATGGCTGACGAATCAACCTCCCTCGAGCTTGCCTCTATCGGCAAGCTCGAGATCCGCAACGGCACCACCGCTGTCAACTGGGTGTCTTTCGAAGACAGCATCTTCACCTACCTTGGGTCCGTTCGAGTGGGAGACTACTGCCTTCTCGACATTGTCCTCGAGACGCCCAACGGCCTCCCCACCAACCCACCTCTCCCCCCGGGCCCCTCCCCCCCAGATGCCCCACCACCTCCGACGGAACCCGGCCCCCAAGCCCCCGCGCTAGGGGCCTGGAACGACGACCCGGACAGGTGGGCTTGCATCCTCCACAAATACAACGATGAACGCGACGACTACATCATCAAAAGCAGAGCCAACGAGGCCGCCCTCGCCGCCCACTACACTGCCACAGCAAACCTTGCAGAAATCAAGAAGTCCGACGAGTACTCCAACGAACTTCGTAAGCATCATGCCGATACTGCTGCTTGGCGCATTGCTCACCGTGACTCCTTGATGGAGCACAGCGCACCATTACCTTGACTCAGTCACACATGGTGCAGCAGGTCCTTCAGCACTTCGGCTTCACCTACTCCTCGCCACAGTCCACTCCTCTGCCTACTGGTCACTCGCTCTCAGCTCCACCTTCGGACGAGTCCGTAGAGCCGAGTGGCCCGTATCCAGAGCTTGTGGGCTGCCTCATGTACCTGATGACTTGCACACGACCTGACCTCGCATACCCTCTCAACCTTTTGGCTCGCTACGTGGCTCCCGGCAGGCACCGAAAGGTGCACTGGGATGCTGCGAAGAGGGTGTTGCGATACTTGTGCAGTACATCGGGCATGGGGTTCGTGCTTGGAGGACGGGCTCGAGTTGTCCTCACTGGTCACGCTGACGCCTCCTGGGTTGACGACTTGGCTAGACAGCGGTCGTCACAGGGTTACACCTTCAGCCTTGGCTCCGGTTCTGTCTCCTGGCGGTCTACCCGCTCTTCTTCTGTTCTCAGCTCCAGTTGTGAGGCTGAGATCTACGCTGGGGCCATGGTTGCACAGGAGCTTCGCTGGCTCACCTACCTGCTGACCGACTTGGGAGAGGCGCCTCGTTCTCCTCCAGTTCTGTACGTCGACAACAAGGCCATGCTGGCCTTGTGTCAGGAGCACAGACTGGAGCACAGAACGAAGCACATTGCTCTGCGCTACTTCCTTGCTCGAGAGTTGCAGCAGCGTGGCCAGCTTCGTCTTGCTTACGTGGCCTCTCAGGCCAACACTGCTGATGTCTTCACCAAGGCACTTCAGCCTTGTGATCATCAGCGTTTCTGTACTGTGTTAGGCCTTCTACCTACTGTGCCTCATTTGTTGACTTCTTGACTCTGCTTGTACTGTACTCTATATACTTATACCTGCATGCTTACACTTGCTAGGTTGTGTTCACTGTATTGTTTGCTTTCCTTTATATAACTCTGCATGTGAACCGGCCTTCTGGCCCTTTGCTTGTGCTCAGACTGTGTGGTGACTTTGTGATCCACCCTGAGTTTGCTTTGTCTTTCTTGACTGGTCTTGTGACCCCTTGTTCTTCCCCACTTTGCCTATGGGGGTGTGTCAAACATATATTTACTATAGTCGGTCTAGGCTGTCGTGGGGTAGTCCTTAGAGGGTACAACACTTATGTGTTTCCTACTTGTACCCTTCTCATTTCCTAATTCAATCATTCTTTCGTCTATCATTCTCACATTTTCGAGAGCGGTTTCTCCTACTATGGAAGTTGTTCTCGAGGACAGCTGCAAGCGACCCACGATTAAACGGCGTTCATTGTACCACCCTGACAATTACGGAGGTTTTGTCAAACAT